TGATGTGAAGAGCTGACTCATTTGAAAAGACCCTGATGCTGGGAAAGATTGAGGGCAGGAGGAGAAGGGGATGACAGAGGATGAGATGGTTGGATGGCATCATTCAATGTACATGGGTTTGGGTAAACTCCGGGAGTTGGTGATGGACAGAGAGGCCTGGCGTGCTGCAGTTCATGGGGTTGCAAAAAGTTGGACACGACTGAGCAACTGAACTGAACTGAACTGAATATTTTATTAATTTATCTAATGCTAAGATTTTAAAAGCTTAAAATTTTTTGTTCATCATGGATTTTTTTTGGCATTGATTTTTATATTTATTTATTTATTGGCCATGGTGCATGGCATGCAGATCTTAGTTCCCCGCCTGACCAGGGATTGAACCCTTTCCCCCTGCCGTGGAAACTTGGAGACTTAACCACTGGACCACCAGGGAAGCCCTTTGAAAACATCTTTACTAAGAATATTAGTTGACAGAACTAAGGTAGCATGTCTTATTCTAGATATGCTTTTCCTTAAAATCAAAAAGAAACTGTGGTTTCTCCCCTTATTTATTCTTAATTTCTCCATCAGCCAGATGGGACCACAGTAGATACTTTGTTACGAAACCCAGCAGCGGACTTCCTCACCACTAAATCTGAACAGGCATAATGCATTCCTTTAGCAAATACTTCTTAAATGCCTGCCATGTGTCAGGAATTGTTTTAGGTACTGGGAATAAATAGAGTAGAAGAAAGCAGACAAAAGTCCCCAGGCTGGGATTCTTCTTAGATGAAGTGAATGGCCGGAGCTGGGGGTTCATTGTCTTCGTGTACTCTGGGTCAGCCACGTGGAGAGCAGCTTTGTCTCCCGTTGCCTCATTTGAAAGGGGTATTGACAACTGAAATCTGTCTGTGGGAAGGAGACTGGCTGCCAGGGGGTCTGGAATTCACATCTTGTGAGAACTGGCCAAAGAAATGGGATCTGAATGTTCTAGGGGCTACATCACATTTACCGTAAAATATTGGAAGGACTTTTATGTGGGAGATGACTAAAGTAGCTCCCTGTCGGGAAGACAGTAACAAAGTGGAGAATGGAGACAAAAATGAACAAAAGGGCTTTCTAACAGTTGGGGAAGGGGGCTGCCTCGGGACTCCTCAGAATTCAGGGAGACTGGTGGCCAAGTCTCAGGCTAGATTCCTGCCTGGGTGGCACTCTGGAGTAGGCACATTTTCAACTTTAGATTCTACTATTATGTGAAATCATATTTTTTAGGCATTTTGTTTACTACAGTTTTGAAAACAAAACTGTGAAAAACTCTTGGCCTTGCAAAAATCATCAAATAAAAACCTTGAAACACCAGTGTGCAAGCTTGTGCGATTTAAAAGTTAAATCGTAGGCACCAGGGTCATGCTAGAAGACCACATGGACTGTAGCCCACTAGGCTCCTCTGTCTATGGAATTCTCCAGGCAAGAATACTGGAGTCGGTTGCCATTCTCTTCTCCAGAGGATCTTCCTGACCCAGGGATCAAACCCAGGTCTCCCACATTGCAGGCGGATTCTTTACCACCAGGGAAGCCCAAAGTTAAATCGTGGGCACCAGGGTCCTGCTAGGAAGATCACTCTAGATCCATGGGGGTGGGAGGTGTGGGAGCAGAGCGCTCCACTTTCCATGATGACATTGCTTAACTTGCTCAATGGCTAAGGGCAGGTGCTTATTAGCCATGAAAAGATTTACCCGAGAGGTGGTTAAAGGGACAGATTCCTTGGCCCCGCCTCCCAGAGAGTCTGATGTTGTGAGTCTAGAGTAGGGTCTAGAATCTGTATCTGTTTAAGCAGCATCTCTTAGACACTCAGACATCCTCTTCTCTTTCCTAAGTCCATGCCGTATGTTGAATGTAGTCCAAAGTGTGGCCGGCGATGCTGGGTCCTGGTGCTCATGGGTGGGGCTTCTTTAGGGATCGAGCACAGGATGAAAAACTTATTCAGAGCCTCTGTTCTCCTCTCTTGTTGGCAGGTGCCTGGATTCTCACTGGAGGCACCCACTATGGGCTGATGAAATTCATTGGGGAGGTGGTGAGAGATAACACCATCAGCAGGAATTCGGAGGAGAATATCGTGGCCATTGGCATCGCCGCTTGGGGCATGGTCTCCAACAGGGACACCCTCATCAGGAATTGTGATGTGGAGGTATGGGCAGGACATGAGGAGGTCTGTGGGGTCACGGGGGACAGTGACCCTGGCACAGGGCCCTGGGATCCCATCAACTCGTAGGAAGTTGGCCTTACAAGGTTCCTTTGGAACCTCAGGAATTAAAAACAAGGATGACGTAATCAAAGGAGTTCTGTGAAGGAGTTACCGATGGATGTGTTTTGTTCATGAAAATTTGTTCCCAGCAAGTCCTGTTAGAGTCAGATCTTTAGTTTTTTATTCTCTGGTACTAAATCTTATGATAAAGAATCTATTTAATTGCCTCTTTTCATGATCCTGTAACTGTGTGCTCCTCAAGAGCTAAGACTCCATTTTATTCATTTTCTAATCCCTAGACCCTGGCATAGGTCTTGACATATGATGGATTCTAGACAAATATGTGTATATCAATATCTACCTTTACCATATCCACACACACACAAATATATATGTCTGGACACACACACACACACACACAAACACTTTCCTGGATGCTATCAGTTTCAATGAATTTATACAAAAGAGCACAGGGCGATAGAACAAGAACTAGATTGAGAATCTGTTTCTTACACTGCCACTGGTCATTTATGTGACAATAGGCACGTGATCCAACTACTTTGAACCTTCATTTACTCATATTTAAAATGATGGCCTGAACTATGAGATCTCTAAGACCCTTCTGCACTTAGGAATCTGGAAAGAAGCATCAGTATAGTTGAACCCAAAGAGTCAGACTTCCGTGAACCTATAAAGATGTCATCAGGCATTTTGGCCAACAAGCGAGTCCCATAGACAAGTTTCTGTGTGCTTTTCAGGGATATTTTTCAGCTCAGTACATTATGGATGACTTCAAGAGAGACCCTCTGTGCGTCCTGGACAACAACCACACCCACCTGTTGCTCGTGGACAACGGCTGCCATGGGCACCCCACCGTGGAGGCCAAGCTCCGGAATCAGCTGGAGAAATACATCTCCGAGCGCGTGATTCAAGGTCAGAGTTTATGAGATGGGACGTTAGGGAAACACATGGGCAAAAGTGGCAGCGGCAGCATCAACAGCAGCTCCCAACTCTCGAGAGAAGCCTGGTAAACCCATCCCATCAGGTGCTCTATGGCCAAAGACGGGCCATTGTGTCTCTTCTTTAATATACTAGAAATACTTCTGCCCATGTGATAGGTACCCCCCAGTGTGCTGGCACATTGATGAATGCTGCCTTGTCCCACTCTGGTTTGGCAATAAACAGACCTGCTGTCCATTCTGCTTGACAACATTTAAGACCTGGGGAAATTCACAGTAGCAAATTGCACTGATGAAGCAATGGGATTTGCTAGAGTAGAAGTGATAAAAACCCAACCCACTAGCGTAGCAGTTAGATGATTTACTTTGAATATTGGCTATTTCTCTATACCATTGTTGTTTAGTCACTAAGTCCCGTCCAACTCTTTTGTGACCCCATGGACTGTAGAATGCCAGGCTCCTCTGCCCATGGAGTTTTCCAGGCAAGAATACCGGAGTGAGTTGTCATGTCCTTCTCTAAGTGATTTTCCTGGCCCAGGGATTGAACTTGTGTCTCCTACTCTTTACCACTGAGCCAACCAAAACCACCTAAAACACTGGTTTCAGGGGAGAATGCAACCACTGAGTTTATTTGATATGGAAAGTGATAAATACTGTCTTCCTACTGCTGAGATGTTGGTGGTGAGATGTGTCCTGTTGTGGAACCAGATTGCCTCATGATCTAGTGACAGTCTCCATCACAGAGACTTGTTGGAGATAATCTCAATCTTTTCTTTTCTCAATGGGAAGTCTGTGGCGGAAGATATTTATATGCAGTCATCTCTCTGGAGAAAACACATAGTTATGCAAATTTTTCACACACTTAAGAAAGCATAGATTATGCAAATGAGTGGGAGTATAATTATTGTTAGGATAAATTTGAACCTGGCTTAATATATATTCAGTTCAGTTCAGTTCAGTTGCTCAGTCGTGTCCGACCCTTTGCGACCCCATGGACTGCAGCACTCCAGGCTTCCCTGTCCATCACCAACTCCCAGAACCTGCTCAAACTCATGTCCATCAAGTCGGTGATGCCATCCAACCATATCATCCTCTGTTGTCCCCTTCTCCTGCCTTCAATCTTTCCCAGCATCAGGGTCTTTTCCAATGAGTTGGTTCTTCGCATCAGGTGGCAAAGTATTGGAGCTTCAGCTTTAGCATCAGTCCTTCCAATGAATGTTCAGGACTGATTTCCTTTAGTATTGACTGGTTTGATCTCCTTGCAGTCCAAAATATTTATTAGCAAAAGTCAATCATTCACAAACTTTAGCATTTTAAACATTAGTAAAAAAATTGCAGTGTGACCCATGTCATGGTTTGGAGCCCAGAGATGATCCATTATGATCAACTGACTGTCAAGTTCATTAGGTCTGCAGCCAGCACCCCTACCCTGGGCTCAAGGGGCGGAAGTTCCCTTGAGGTAGGTGAGTATTTCTGATGAGCCCAAAATATATTTTATATTTTACAGATTCCAACTATGGTGGCAAGATCCCCATTGTGTGTTTTGCCCAAGGAGGTGGGAAAGAGACTTTGAAAGTGAGTCTTAGTTTGGTTTTCTAGAAGATCAGTCAACAAGTTTGCTCAACCAGTCTGTATTTTCAGGGTTTTGGGGGCTCACCTAATCTAATCGGATTGCTTTCTTTTCTACAGTAAGTAAGTAGCATTTTTCCAATCACACAGTGTGTTGCCCTAACAGACTTATGTTGTTTCCTCACCTGAGAAGATTTAGGAAGAGACTTTGTAGCAACATAAATAGTCTGTGTACTTGCTGTTGGCTTTGGCCATCAACCAGCCAAATAGGAGGGCTTGACATAAACTCACAAGACTCAGGGATGGTAACCAACACATATGCTGGAAAACCATGGCCACCCTGTGATCACACACACCTAGAATTACATGAAATTTCTGGCAGAGTTAGTTGGAATCATAGTCTAATGCTTCTCTTGTTTATTATTTTCTGTAACAATGATCCATTTGTTTATTCCTTCATCAGCAGGTATTTGTTAAGTACCTTCTATGAGACCTACTGTTGAAAACATTATTAAATAAAGTTTTTCAGGGAAAGACTTTTCAGAGAAAAATTAGAGATTTTTTTGCAGTGTAAAATAGTGAGTATGGAAATGCCTGAAGAGGCAGTCACATTACAGAGGAAGAGAGATGGAGAAAAAGTAACTGAAGATGGTTACATTTATTGTCACTCAGGTTTTAGATTTAGAATTAAGGTTTCCAGCGAGGTTCTAGAGTATTGCATTTCGGTAGCATTTCCCTCAAAGTCTGTTCAGCCAGTTCGCAACCCACAGATGCTACAGGAGAGAGAAGAGAGGAGAGAGGGAGGAGAGACTGCCCACTGAGTTGTTCATCCTTCAGCTCACTCTCCTATCACCCCAGCACGGCCCCGACACCCACCTTTGGCACAGGTAGGGAGGTGAAGATGGATCCCAGCCTGATCTGATGAAGGCTCCACACTCTATGGGCAGCGTCTTCTCTAAGGGAGACAGCACTCCTGGCTAAAGGAAGGGGCATCACACTGTCTCCTGTGCTCACGTGTACATCACTTTGTCTTGTTGTCTAGTGATTAAAATTCTTAAGACCTGATCCCCTTATGCTGGTCTCTGTGGTTTTTATCAAGGAAATAAAAGTGTGGTAGCTGTCTATCCAGAACGCAAATATATGTTTCTTTTCTTTTCATAAAAGGAGAAAAGAAAATTATTTGAGGAGGGAAATATGTGAGTCAAAAAAGTGTGCCAGCTTCTGGGAAGGTATTTTCATACCTTCAAACTATGCATATTATTCACCTCTGTCATATAAGCCATCAGTGAAAATGTTGAGTACCATCTTAAGAGTTGTCATTTGAATCTATGATGTCAATATTTGGAATGATCAGTTTTGTACAGAGGGATATTTTGAAGCACTTATTTGTGGGAAACTTGCCAGTCACACATGTCCTTACTATGGAATCTAATACTAACACGGGACGTAAGACAACTGGCTTGCATATCTGATTCTTAAAACGGTTGCAACTATTTGCTTTGCTTCTGGTTGAAAATGAACCTCCCCTGCCCCCACAGAAGGATACAGTGCAGAGTTGTGTCCATGTGATTTGTTCACCAGCTTGATTAGAGCCTCGGTCCCGGGCCGGGTTCTGTTGATCCTCTGGTCGACGCTTAGCTCCCTTCTCGCAGGCCATCAATACCTCCGTCAAAAGTAAAATCCCCTGTGTGGTGGTGGAAGGCTCGGGGCAGATTGCCGATGTGATCGCGAGCCTGGTGGAGGTGGAGGATGTCCTGACGTCATCCATCATCAAGGAGAAGCTGGTGCGCTTCCTGCCCCGCACTGTGTCCCGGCTGCCTGAGGAGGAGACCGAGAGCTGGATCAGATGGGTGAGTGGTGGCGGGGCAAGTTCACGGGAAGGGAGGGGCGGGCATCTTCACTGCCAGCCTACACTAGCAGCTCTGGGTGTTTATACTTTCTCAGTGACTTTGAAACTGCACTCCAGCCCAAACAGATTTTTTTTTCTTGGAAACTGAAGCTCCCATACATTAAATGACTTGCCTAGTCTCCATACCTCATAAGGTGTAGCAGATGCGGCTTAAATTCCAGTCCGCCTGGTTTCAAAGCTGATACTCCTTCTTTCATACCCTGCCAATAAATAGGGGGTGAAATCCCTGTGATGATGTTTTAGAAATGCAGATTCTAAATCGAATCTGTATCTAGTGGAGAAGCTGTTACTACAGAAAGATTACCTTCTAAGTTAACTGGCCTGTGATTCATTCATAATCTCTCATCTTTCCTATTGGATCATGTAAGAAATGTGCACTGAGTGAAATATCTCCGGCTTCTTCTGGCTAAGCCTGTAAAGTATCTTAACGTAGTGCTCTGCTCTCTCCCCTTTCTCTCTGAATCTTGACTGGTGTTGACTTGAAATGCCTTTCATCTTGTTGACTGTTCAGTTTGTGATAGAGTTCACATTGATAGGAGTGGGGACGTTCCCATCAGCTCATTTGAAAATGGCCTTCGATCTTTGGGTATTCTTAGGAGCCTGTGCTGCCACTTGGAAAGTTTTCCATAAAGGAAATAACAGGATGAAGACAGCAAGAGTTATTTTAATCATGGAACCCATTTCATCATTAGAGTGAAAGGTTGAATTTAGTATAAATAGTTTTCATAAGTTCTTTAATTAGCTTGGTATTTCAGCAGCATTTCGTTGTGGAAGAACCTCGAAGTGTCAAATTTGGGAAACTGAATCTTGGAGTAGTGAAGACAGTCTTGCTCATGGTAGCATTTGTCATCGTGTTTTTTCTTTTATCGAAGCTTAGTTGATTTACAATATTGTGTTCATTTCAGGTATACAGCAAAGTGATTCACATCTCTATCTATCTACCTACCTATCTATCTATCTATTTATCTGTCTGTCTATCTATGCTGTGCCCATCTGCTCAGTCACGTCTGACTCTTTTGTGACCTCATGGACTGTAGCCCGCTAAGCTCCTCTGTCCATGGGATTTTCCAAGCAAGAATACTGGAGTGGGTTGCCATTCCTTCTTCAGGGGATCTTCTCAACACAGGGATCAAACTCTCATCTCCTACATTGGCAGGCAGATTCTTTACCACTGAGCCACAGGGGAAGCTCAGAGAAAAATATTTATAAATATATACAAAAATATATGTGTGTGCATGTATGCTGAGTTGCTTTAGTTTTGTCCTACTCTTTGCGACCCTGTGGAGCATAGCCCGCCAGGTTCTTCTATCCATGGGATTCTCCAGGCAAGAATACTGGAGTGGGTTGCCATGCCCTCCTCCAGGGGATCTACCTGACCCAGGGATCAAACCCGTGTCTCTAATATCTCCTGCACTGGCAGGCAGGTCCTTTACCACTAGGGCCATCTGGGAAGCCCCCATATATGTAACTTTCTTTTGCAGATTCTTTTTCATTACAGATTATGACAAGATACTGAATATAGTTCTCTGTGCTAAACAGTAAACCCTTGTTTATTTTATATAGAGTACTGTGTATTGGTCTTTGTCATTATTTAAAGCAAGCATGAACAAATCAAATTCTTGAAAATAATGAGAAAAATCAAGCCTACCATCTAGGCTGCCAGGTACTCAATATTAAATTAACAAACAGCGAGACCCTCTTGGCTTTATTTAATTTCACATGACTGGGCAGTTAGGTGATGGTCTAGGGAAGGTACGACAGGATCAAAGTGACCAGGACACAAGTCCTTTCTGGATTAAGCTTCTTTACTAAGACTCAGAATTAGAAGATGCAGCTGCATCTTCTTCCCACACCTGAGAGTCTCTGTTGGTGCTGAATGATGCCCTGTCCAACAAACGCTCATGTGATGTTCCTACTTGAGGTGCTGCATTTTGCAGATTTTGCTAAAAAGGGTAAAGCTGGTGGTTTTCTGTGAAAGTTCTTGCTGGGATTTGCTTGTATCTTGTTCAGGTCCGGTTGAGGTGAATAGAGTGATATCAGCTTCATTGATGATGAACGCCAAGTTGAAAGATGCAGCTTAGGGGTGCAGCCACCACAGACCTCCTTATGCTGAGCCCCAGAATGAGACAGATGAACCCACCCAGACAGAGGCAGCCCTGGAGGATTGCCGGCCCGCTGTCAGGCGACACTTGTGGTGACAGCTGACACTAGATCTCTAGCACCCTGCAAGGAGCAGATCCCAAAGAAGAAGCAGGAGGGGGCTGGCTGGGCAAGGCCAAAGTCGGCAGTTGCCTGTGTCACTCCCCAACCCCGAACCAGTTGAGGTAGTGGTGAAGAATCTGCCTGCCAGTGTAGGAGAGGCAGGAGACATGGATTTGAGCCCTGGGTTGGGAAGATATTGTGGAGAAGGAAATGGCAACTCACTCTAGTATTCTTGCCTGGAGAATCCCATGGACAGAGGAACCTGGCGGGCCACAGTCCATGGGATTGCAAAGAGTTGGACATGGCTGAACATGCACACACACACAAACACCCTGAATACCCAGGACCTGATTTGAATAGAGTGCTCTCTGGGTGAAAATACGTGGGTGAGAGAAATACATATAACCCACAGTGGTTATTTCCAGTTCCCAATATATTCAGACCTAAACAGTTTGAGTCATTCCAAACATATCAAGGGAGCAGCCCCAAAGCATAGATATAAACCTGAGACTTTATGTGTTGAGCAATGTCCTCAAGGTAGTTTCCTGTGATGGATGGAAGAAATTCAACAGTCAGTTCAAGGATGCTCGCAGACAGAGGAATAGACAACTCTTAACTCACCCGTCAAAGATGGCCCTGGGTCCATTCCACTGACTTTCCTCTTATTCCTTATGCACATTGATTGTAGAGTCCAGACAAGGTCATGTCCAAAGGGCCATGCCACTGTCTGGGTCCCCATACCCTTTATGAAGGACTTTTTTAAAGTTTTTTTTTTTTGGTGTGGGTCATTTTTTTAAAAAAGTTTTTTTGTATTTGTTATAATATTGTTTCTGTTTTACGTTTTGGTTTTTTGGCTGCGAGGTATGTGGATCTTAGCTACCCAACCAGGGATTGAATCTGCACCCCTTGCATTGGAAGGTGAAGTCTTAACCACTGGACCGTCAGGGAAGTCTCTTTATGAAGGGTTTTGATTTTCTGCTTCAAGAAAACTGCTACAGAAAGTCATGTGAAGCAGACTAAATGTCAGACACATTTCACTTTCTATGATTATATTGCCCTTTCTGGGGTGCGTATCTAATTCATATTCATATGCTAATGATTTATCATAATTATAATCATGTCAATCAGAAGACATACATCCATAATAAAAATTAGCCTGGCATTTTAATTATGCACTTATATGGGGCTTGGCAGTTGGTAGAGATTTCCCAAAAGACAAAGCTTGAGAGTGGAATTACTAATGAATGAATGTATGCATTCAGTCAAATATTCGTTGAGCAGCCTCTCAGGGTAATTGTGGGTGGCCTCACTGGTCATGTGGACAAGCATCCCCTAAGCCTGGCCTCACCGTTTCTCATCCTCCTCAAGAGACCCCACATACTTGCCCCCTGGGACCAGGCCCTGCTCCCCTACCAGGGTTCTCATGGTTCTCCATTCTGCCTACTCCCACCTGCTCAAGAACTTGACCCTTCAGGGTCTCCCAGCCTGCCAGCCAACCTGGTATCATTCATTTCCAACACTTGCATTTATTCAGTAGTAATTTATTGAGTGCATACTGATGCCTGATCCTGGAACAGACATTTCAGAAGGAAGGGTATTCAACAAAGAGTGCTTGTCCTCAGAGAGAAATTGGAAAAAAAAAAATTCCTGTGGCATGATTACAGTACAGTGCAGTATTTAATTTCACACCAGAAAAGGGAGGTTTGAAGAAAGTTAGTAGCGTGGATGCACTGGGCTTGAGCCAAGGGAGCCTGGCCTGGTGTGGGAGGCCTTTCAGCGTAGGGCTTCTCAGAGGAGGTGACGTGGGAGCTGAGATCTGAGTGATGGGTGAGGGTCAAGGGTGAGGGCTGGGCTTGTTTGGGGCACAGCTCCTGAGACTCGAGGTAAGCCCGGCTCCCCAAGGGACTGAAAGATGGCGATGAGGGTGGATGCTTTTGGGTGGAGACTGTGGGACTTAGGAGAGGCCAGGCCAGGGAGTCCTTGGCCACTGCCTAGAGCTTTTGGTCTTGTTTAGGTGTGCCAGGAAGTCACCGGGGGGTTTGAGGCAGGGTGAGGTGTGACCTGAGTATGTTTCAGTTGAGGTCACACGGGCTGCAGCTGGGGGTCAGGATTCTAGGGGGGCAGAGTATGGGTGGGTGCCCCTGCAGAGTCTCTGGGTTCCATCCATTTGCTCTGTATCCATGTTCCTCTTCTTCTTCCTTTTCATTCCAAAGGAAAAGTTTTCTCGGCCCTTCTGTGCTGCCCACCCCCAGCTGGCCCCAGAATCTTGGGACCTGGACCCATCCTCACCTGTCATTTCTGGCCAGACCTCTTTCCTTCACATGAACTTTCTGCCAGCGTGGAGAGAGGACCCTTCCCTTCCTGCCGTCAGCCCTTCTCCCTCTCCATCAACTCACTTCGGTCTGTGCTTTCCTGGAGTTTTCATCTATTTCCTCATCACCCTCTGATGCCTTTTGAACGAAGCCCTTGGACACCACCTTTCTCAGGAAACTGCAACCTTGAGGTCACCTCCTAAAGTCAGTATTCAAGGGCTCTCCTTTTTCTTTTTGAAAAACTGAACTCAAGTTATAATACTGTGTTCTGTCAGGTGTACAGCCAAGTGATTCAATTATATAAATGCATATGTAAGTATACGTACTTATTATTGTTGCTGTTCAGTCGCCCAGTCGTGGCTGACTCTTTGTGACCCCATGGACTGCAGCACGCCACGCCTCTCTGTCCTTCACCATCTTCTGGAGTTTGCCTAAGTTCATGTTTATTGCATCAGTGATGCTGTCCAGCCATCTCGTCCTCTGATGCCCTCTTCTCTTCCTGCCCTCGATGTTTCCTAGCATCCGGGGGGACTTTTCCAGTGAGTCAGCTGTTTGAATCAGATGGCCAAATTACTGGAGCTTCAGCTTCAGCATCAGTCCTTCCAGTGAATATTCAGGGTTGATCTCCCTTAAGATTTGATCCCCTTGCTGTCCAAGGAGCTCTCAAGGGTCTGCTCCAGCAACACGATTTGAAGGCAGTAATTCTTTGGTGTTCTGCTTCTTTGTGGTCCAGCTCTTACAACCGTATATGACCACTGGGAAGACCATAGCCTTGACTCTGTGGACCTTTGTCAGCAGAGTGATGTCTCTGCTTTTCTAAGCTTGTCATCGCTTTCCTGCCAAGAAGCCATTCTGATTTCACAGTTGCAGTCACTGTCCCCAGTGATTTTGGAGCTCAGGAAGAGGAAATCTGTCACTGCTTCTGCATTTTCTCCTTCTGTTTGCCATGCAATAATGGGGCCGGATGTCATGATCTTAGATTTTTAAATATTTAATCTTAAGCCGGCTCTTTCACTCCCCTCCTTCATCCTCACCAAGAGGCTCTTTAGTTCCTCTCCGCTTTCTGCAATTAGAGTGCTATCATCTGCATACCTGAAGTTGTTGATGTTTCTTCCGCCTTTCTTGATTCCAGCTTGTAACTCATCCAGCCTGGCATTTCTCATGATGTGCTCAGTGTATAGGTTAAACAAACAGGGTGACAGCAGACAGCTCTGTCCTACTCGTTTCTCGATCTTGAACCAATCAGTTGTTCATACAGGGTTCTAACGGTTGCTTCTTGACCCACATATGGGTTTCTCAGGAGACAGGTAAGATGGTCTGGTATTCCCATCTCTCAGCTTTCCGTAGTTTGTCATGATTTACATGGTCGAAAGCTTTAGCATAGTTGATGAACAGAGACAGATGGTTTTCTGTACGTATATATGTACACACATATATTTTTATGTAAAGAATATGTATATATTATTTTTCAGATTCTTTTCCATTATAAGACATTACAGGGAATTCCCTGGTGGTCCAGTGGCTAAGACTTTGTACTCCCAATGCAGGGGGCCTGGGTTCAATCCCTGGTCAGGAAACTGTATCCCACATGCCACCACTAAGACCAAGAACAGCCAAATAAATAAAAATAAATATATATTCAAAAAAGACAAGACATTGCATATAGTTCCCTGTGCTATACAATAAATCCTTGTCATTTGGACAATCCTTGTTGTTTTGCATTTAGTAGCATGTATCTGTTAATCCCATACTATTAATTTATCTGTCCCCTCCCCTTCCTCCTCTGGTAACCATAAATTTGTTTTCTATGTCTGTGAGTCTGTTTCTGTTTTCTAAATAAGCTTATTTGTATTATTTTTAGATTCCACATATAAGTGATATATTATTTGTCTTCCTCTGTCTTATTTCACTTAGTATGATAATCTCTAGGTCCATCCATGTTGCTGAAAATGGCACTATTTCATTGTTTTTTTATAACTAATATCCCTCTGTGTGTGTGTGTGTGTGTGTGTGTGTATTCACCGCATCTTCTTCGTCCGTTTATCTGTTGATGGTTGCTCATGACTTGGCTGTTGTAAGTAGTGCTACTATGAACATTGGAGTGCGTGTATCTTTTCAAATTAGGGTTTTCATCTTTTTTGAATATACACAAGGACGCTATTTAGTTCACATCTTCATCCTCAACCTGACCTGAAGCTTCCCTCTCTGCCCAACCAAGACTCTGTAGTTCCAGATCCTCATGTCCAAATGTTGCTGGGAAAACCCACCACCTTGAAGTCGGTGTAACCACAGCCAGACTCACTTCCTTCTCTAGAGGGAGTTTTTCATTTTCAAGCTCCCTCCAAGTGGGCCTGAAACCTTAGAATCTGGAGGGACTCTGCCTCTCCCCAGGCTTTTTTTTTAAGTCTTTTATTGAATTTGTTATAATGTAGCTTCTGCTTTATGTTTTTTGGTTTCGTTTTGTTTTTGGCTGTGAGGTATGTGGGATCTTATCTCCCTGACCAGGGATCGAACCTGCATCCCATCATTGGACTGCCAGGGAAGTCCTTCCCCCAGCTCATGAATCTTACAAAGTGTCTTAAAATTAAACATTACAGAAAATCACAAAGGAAAATATAGAGAATCCCTCATCTCTTTATTCAATCACCATGTTGTCTTGGCTTTTATTCACATTGGATTTTCTTTCCTATAGTCTAAGCCCTTAGGACTACACTTGGACAATTTCTTTGGTTTTTCTGTTATTTTCCTGATTTATTCACTCATTCAATGATAGAGTGCCTACTATGTGTCACATACACACACACTCACACTCACCCCTAGTCATTGTGTCTTACAGGTTCCTGATAGATTCTTTTTGATATACATGCCCTTATAGAAGCAGTGCTTATGCTCATTGTGGTCAAGGACTCACTATTTCAATGTAGAAATTAGATGCTATGAGTATGGGCACTGTAGAGGAAGGAAGGAAATCGGAAACATTCCTATAGGTGGTCTTTAAAAAAAAAATGGAACAAGACTTTCCTCACCAAAAGAGAGAGAAGTTTATACTCCTTGGGCCTGAAATCAGTTGGCTGACAATTCTGCTCTTTAAATCTTACCAGCTCAAAGAAATTCTCGAAAGTTCTCACCTACTAACAGTTATTAAAATGGAAGAAGCAGGGGATGAAATTGTGAGCAATGCAATCTCCTATGCATTGTACAAAGGTGAGTAAAAATAAATCTTCTAGAAATGTGACTTTCTGTGGCTTTTAATGTCTGGCATTTATTTTTTAAGCAGCTTTACTGGAAATGTAATCTTGCATTTAACTTTGATTATCATAGGTTGAAAGTTAGAATAACTATTATTGACCTCCTTGGATGTATGTATTAATAGAAGAAGAATTTTTATGTCATTAAAATATTGGTTAAATATGATCACAGTGCTTTCCAAAGAATTGTCTCTAATAGTGGTTTAAAATCTTTTTCTGAGCCTCAGACATCTGGGAGAATGTACTATAAGCTATGGATGGACCTTTGTCCTAGTATTCCACATCTATGTAAACATGTGCACACGCACTTCACACACACATAATTCTGCATTCAGTTTCAGGGGCTAACACATCTCCTGAAGCTTGTGAATGAACCTCAGTTTTAAATCCTCATGTGTGAACTTTGCTTGCTGAGAATCCCATCCAGATGGAATTACCTGAAGTAAACAGATCCTTGACAAAGACCGTGAGGAGTTGAGCCACCTGATTAATATCTGTAAAGTATGCAGAGCAGAGCAAGGCACCTCAGAAGTGCGTTTTAAGCATTAACTATTTATTAGAAACATTCTTGTCCTACTTGTCAGAAATTCGGTTGTAAGGATATTTATTGAAATGGGGCTACATCTGTAGAGATACATAGATACAGAAAATAGTAGCTCTGGAAAAGACAAGTAGAACATTGTTATAATATAGCTCTTTATTTCATAGATTTAGATATAGTATAAGTCAGATGTGACCCTGGAAATGTAATATTTATGGAATCTGGATCTATAGGAAAATATCAATATACCATAGTTATACTGTTAGGATATGGAATGGAAAGATATTATCACCTAAATTGATCCTCATCATATACTTTGGGACATAGAAAATGTGGATAAGAATCAGTGGAGATAAAGTGTCAGTGAAATGACAGCTGTGAGTGTCTGATTCTTTTTTTTTAAAGATTTTTTTTTTGAATCTGGACCATTTTTTAAAAACCTTTAATGAATATCTTATAATATTGCTTCTGCTTTTTATGTTTGGTTTTTCGGTTGCAAAGCATGTGAGAATCTTAGCTTCTTGTCCAGGGATTGAACGCACACCCCCTACACTGGAAGATAAAGTCTTAACCACCAGACCACCAGTGAAGTCCCTCTGTTTGATTCTAAGAGAACATGTTTAGAATCTCCTTTGACAAATGGCTCTGATAATTGACCGTATGGAATGGTTCTGATATTCTTGTTTCTGGGTGTTTGGTAAATTGACTTTTTCCCCGTCCTCTTACAGCCTTTAGCACCAATGAACAAGATAAGGATAACTGGAATGGGCAGCTTAAGCTTCTACTGGAGTGGAATCAGCTGGACATAGCCAATGATGAGATTTTCACCAATGACCGCCGATGGGAGGTAAATAAGAAGCCATCCTTGGTGATTCCAATGGCAGGTCTAGTCCATTTCTTAGAAGGCCTTTGATGTTGAATCTTGTAATGGACGTTCTGTCTGGTGCATCTGTGTGGCTAAGACTCACTTTCTTCATCTTGCTGTTGTTCAGTCGCTAAGTAGTCTACGACTCTTTGTGACCTCATGAACTGCAGCACGCCAGGCCTTCCTGTCCTTCACCATCTCCCAGAGTTTGCTCAAACTCATGTCCATCGAGTCAGTGATGCCGTCCAACCATCTCATCCTCTGCTGCCCCCTTCTCCTCCTGCCTTCAATCTTTCCCAGCATCAGGGTCTTTTCCAGTGAGTTGGTTCTTCATATCAGGTGTCCAAGGTATTGGAGCTTCAGCTTCAGTATCAGTCCTTCCAGTGAATATTCAGGATTGATTTCCTTTAGGATTGACTGGTTTGATCTCCTTGCTGTCCGAGGGACTCTCAAGAGTCTTCTCTAGCACTTCTTCATCTGTAGTATGGGATAATAACATTGACTTCGTAGGTTGGTTGTAAAGAGATAATAAAACTAAATATACTATAATGTAAGGTAACATCAAGCCACCCATATCATCTAAAGTTTACAGCTTTTCAGCCATGACGTGAGAGGCAATTCTCCATCTGGGTGTAGAGGTGAAGATTTCCTCTTGGGGGAAATAATATGCTCGACAGCGGTACTCATTTTGTGCCCTACTCCACCTTCCTAGCCAAATTCTAATGAGAAAATTGTCAGACACGAGATGTATAAGAGACAAATAGAACAAGTTGATTGAAGGCATACAATGAATATCATAGAAAATCGGGCCTCCTCCAGGCAAACCTTTGCCTCCAGTATGGAAGTTGTATGTCCAGGAAATCTGTATTTTTTTCCAGTAAGCTGACTTTTCTCATTTAGAATTAATTTTTTTACATTTATTCAGCGGCAGTGAGTCTCAGTTGCAGTATGCGAGATCTTTAGTTTCAGCATGGGAACTCTTAGCTGCAGGATCTAGTTTGCTGACCAGGGATTGAACTTAGGCCCCCTGCATTGGGGGCACAGAATCTTAACCACTGGACTACTAGGGAAGTCCCTCTCACTTAGAATTTGATGAGAGTCGTAAGGCTACGCTTTACAGCAGCATCCTCTTGTATACAACGAAATTGAGATCCACTTCAGGAATTCTGTTTCATAGGAACGATTATGAACTGTCACACTTGGATCTACATGGCAGGGGCTTCTTTGTTTCAGCTCTTCAATCATGGATGGGCAGTGAGAATTTCATTTTATATGTGTATAACAGTATAAGGCATGTGTATTTCATAACTTTGTATCCTTGCCAGTTAGATTTAGAAAACACTTTTAGGCCCATCATCATATAATCAAAGATGAAGAATTCATTTATACTAACGTGATCAATTTTAATAATAGAATACAAATAAAGTCATGGCTTATGGACATTTAAATTATTCATTTCTTTAGCAAACACTATCTTTGTTTGGTTTTTGCAGCATAATGAGCTCTATCTCATATGGCAAGCCTTGAGTTAGTTGAGGGAAAGCAGAACTGCAGGTAGATTTAGTTAATTGATTCATAAATGAACCCATGTGTATGAACTGTCTTATTTAAGTGAGGTTAGATGGTACAAATAAACATAAAGTTGGGCACATATTGAATCGATTATTTAATTTTACTGACTTAGATAAAGATAGTTAGCATAAAGGGTCTAATGGTTGAGAGAATGGACTCTGGAGCCAGCCCCTCTGCATGACTTAACCTCTGCAAGTTACTTAACTTTCTATGCCTCCGTTTCCTTGTACAGTGGTGAGTTGGGGTCAGCTCATATTGTTTTTAGCTAAAAACAAAGTTGACTGCTAAAATTTGTAGGGATTTTTGAGTCAGTTGTTAAATATAGTCATTAAAAATCAAATAATATAAACTTAGAACTAAATAAATTTTATTAAAAGCAAAGGCAATACTTAATCAGACTCATCCCTTTCTAACTGTTTTACTACATTTGCTGTGATCTAGCCTCGGGAAGTTATGTCTGTTGTATCTGTGTGCTGGAAACAGTACCTGGTACTCTGTGTCGAGGCCCAATTGCACATTCAGTGATATCACATGATAGCTGAAGACTGGCTGTGGTGGGAACATTTACACCATAGTAATGGGCAAATGCCCCAAATCAGGGCTTATTTTCTTCTAGAGATTTGGTTGTGAAGTATTTACCAGCATTCCACTGCTCATTTAAAAATGGAGATGGTAATTAATAGCAGTACTTACCTCACTGGATTGATACAATCAGATGTTCCTAAAGTGCTTAAGACATAGGCACCTGTTAAGTCCAATATAAGTCTTTGTTTAAAAATAAATACATATGTTTGGAATGATGGTTATATTTGTGTAACCTCTTATATAGCACAAAACAGTTTCACTGTGCTTGTTCACTTGGCCCTCATGCCAACCATCCCAGGGATTATCTCATTTTGATGGTTAATAAGCCAGGGCTCCATGGGTACCACTGGGGAGCATTCTGATGGCATTTTGGGGGCCTGTTCTGAACTTGAATCTATTAAGGCATCTGGACCCGTGTTACGTCATTTTATCCCCACACACACACCTATTTTACAGATGAGAAAAATGAGGTTCAGAGACACAGTCTCATTCAAGGTTGCACATAAGGTAAGGTAAAACCAAGGTGTGGAAACAAAGCTGTGTTTGACTTTAAAGCAGTTCTCTTTCCCTGTGTGCAAGAGGTTCTCAAAGAGTGATCCCTGCACTGGGATGACCCAGAGGGATGGGATGGAGAGGGAGGTGGGAGGGGGGTTCAGGAGGGGGAACACATGTAAATCAATGGCTGATTCATGTCAATGTATGGCAAAAACCACTACAATATTATAAAGTAATTAGCCTCCAACTAATAAAAATAAATGGAAAAAAAAAAAGAGTGATCCCTGGACCAGGGGTTGCACGGGCTTAACCTGGGAGCTGGTTAGAAGTGCAGATCGTCAGGGCAGCTGCCGCTTTCTGCCTCTGTCCCACTGGGAGCCACAGTGTGGGGACTCAAGGGACCCTTGGCAGTTCCCTCTGCAGGCAACGTGTGATCCTCCTGAGACCAACATCAGAAACAGAAACTGCTAATGCTGCTCTTGGCCGGGGATATTCCCCTGAACTGGGTCTCAGACACGTGAAGTGAGGAGAGTGGACTGGGTGGGCGGCAAGGAGACGTGTGGGGTTTGGCGCTGCAGCGCCCAGGCTCCTGGAGCCACCCCCACTGGCTCCAGCTGATGGTTCTCCATGGTGTCAGACCTTCTGGTGTTTACTCATGAGTGTTAGTCGCACCATCATATCTGACTCTTTGCTACCCCACGGACTATAGGTAGCCAGCCAGGCTCCTCTGTCCATGGGATTCTCCAGCCAAGAACGCTGGAGTGGGTTGCCATTCCTTGTTCCAGGGGATCTTCCTGACCCAGGAATTGAACCCAGGTCTCCTGCATTGCAGGTGGATTCTTTACTGTCTGAGTTATCTGGATTGTAATGCTGGAATTGTGGATTTTTATGAACCATCTAATTTTTTTATTAATTAATTTTTATTGCAGTATAGTTGCTTTATAGGACTGTATAGTGGTTTTGTAGGACTTCCCTGTAGCTCAAATGGTAAAGAATCTGCCTGCAATGCAGGAGACCAGGGTTTGATCCCTGGGTCAGGAAGATCCTCTGGAGAAGGGAATGGCAATCCACTCCAGCGTTCTTGCCTGGAGAATCCCGTGGACAGAGGAGCCTGTGGGCTGCAGTCCATGAGGTTGCAAGGAGTCAGACACGGCTGAGCGACTCACATACACACAAAGTCACTTTATGGTGTTGTGTTAGTTTCTGCTGCTGCTGCTGCTAAGTCACTTCAGTCATGTCCGACTCCGTGTTAGTTTCTACTGCACAGCAGAATGAATCAGCCACACATGTACATGTGTCCCCTCCCTGCTGGATTTCCTTCCCATTGAGGACACCACGTTGCATTGAGTTTCCTGTGTTATACAGTATATTCCTATCAGTTTTCTATTTTATACATAGTCCAATTGTTAATGTTGGCAGCTGAATCAAACTGTAAGAAATATTGGGTTGGCCAAAAAATTCATTCAGGTTGTGCAACACCAAATGAACTTTTGGCCAGCCCAGTACTAAGGAGGACAGTGGGAAACAGTGGTATGGCCTGTAGACCACTGGTTTGTGCCTGAAGAATGTATTAATTTTCTTCATTAAGATTATCAATAAGCTTCTGTGGGATCAGGCTTATCAGGAGCCCAGAGTGTAGAGATGAAGGGAACTAATAACTGGGTATCATTGTCAGGTGTTCCAGTAACTCATGGTTTTTTTAACATGGCCAGGCATTTGCCTCACGCTGTGTGAAGGGCAGCAGGGGGGCCCCACGGCACAGAGGGAAGAGCTGGTTGGTGGTTGGCTCATAACGGTGTCTACTGTAGACCTCAGAGAAATGGTGTGAGCTGGATGGCAAGTTCCCTGTCCCGTGACAGAGCCAGTGCTTCCTTTATACCAGACATTGGGATCAATTCTTGATCAATGTCATCCCTACATGCTGTCGCTATCTCCACTTTACAATTACACGAGGCTAAGTCCCATCCAAGCCCACGTCTGGCTGATTTCAGATCCCACCATGCTGCTTCCCTCTCTTGCCTCAATGCTTGAGCTAAAACCCAACATTATGTTGCAACTGAAAAGATAAATTTTATTCCCAAAGCAGAGCTGAACGAAAAGCTGATGATCCTGTTACTTTGTGGTGGAAAGTGCGATGTAAGCTGAGAAAGAAAATGCCTTGCTGCTTTAATTGGATTTAGGGTGTGCGTTCTCTCTCTGCTCCTTCTCCTTAGTCTGCTGACCTTCAGGAAGTCATGTTTACGGCTCTTATAAAGGACAGACCCAAGTTTGTCCGCCTCTTTCTGGAGAATGGCTTGAACCTGCGCAAGTTCCTCACCAACGACGTCCTCACGGAGCTCTTCTCCAATCACTTCAGCTCCCTGGTGTATCGAAACCTGCAGATTGCCAAGAATTCCTATAATGATGCCCTCCTCACATTTGTCTGGAAACTGGTTGCTAACTTCCGAAGAGGCTTCCGAAAGGAAGACAGGAATAGCAGAGATGAAATAGACATAGAGCTCCACGTATGTACTGGGATGGTTGTCTGCCTGAATTCTCTGATCTCTTGAGTCTTCCTTCAGAAAAAATTTCTCTACCTCTCTAGATTCCTACTCCCTACCTCATCACCATCATGTAGTCAACATATTGGGATTGTTAATTTTTTTGTCCTACTTCATTTATTTAAGCTAGCAAATCCTATTGAGATAACAAGTGGTGCATTTTCTTGCTTTATTCTTTGTGCTATATTTACAACTAGTTATTGCAGTGTTTATTAATTGCAAAGGTTGGTGTGATACACTTTCTGAAGGCATCTAACAGAACAGGGGCAAACAAATGGCAACCTGTTCGTGCCTTAGCCTTTTGGACGTGATCTACCTAAAACAGTTCGTGCTACCCATGCAAAAGACTGGAGAATTGCCAAGTTTTCCTTTGTGAATGAAAAGGGAAGCGAATCTTTCCCAAAGGATAATCCTGGTTTCCATTTGAGAGGATGTTATGGATGTACCACTTATATTCTTTCAAGATTTTCTACTTAAAGGACAGGCAGGGCCAGTTTCCTGTACCTGCAACTCTTTGCTGAAGGCTTCCTCTGGTCAGAGCCCATTGAGGGTCAAGTTGGTGTATAAATAGCCCAGCAACTTTCCTGCTCAGAGGGGATAGTTCTGAGGCCTGTGTCCTACACTGGCCCCTAGAGTTGCCTAGTGGGACTGTTGTTGTTGAGTTGCTAGGTCATGTCCGACTCTTCGCGGCCCCATGGACTATAGCCCGCCAGGGTCCTCTGTCCATGGGATTCTCCAGGCAAGAATACTGGAGTGGGTTGCCATTTCCTTCTCCAGGAGATCTTCCTGACCCAGGGAACAAAAACCCACATCTCCTGCATTGGCAGGCAGATTCCCACTGAGCCCCCAGAGGAGCCCCAGCTAGTGGGATTAGTTTCTGGTTATTTACCATGATAACCCTGTTGGTCCTTTCTTTTCTAATTTCATTTCCTCAACCTCTGAGTGGTTTTCCTGGAATCACTTCTCAAATAAAAATGCATGTCTCAAATTGTTTTGCTTTTGGGAAAACTCAAGCTAGGTCATTATCTTTTATAGTTCTAGAATTTTAATATATGTGTGTGGTGCAAAAATCTAAATGAGCTAGGTGTTTGAAGAAGTTGGAAGTGTTTTAAAAGCTGTTTGTTTCTATTTATAGTGAAACTCTCCACAGTATCCATAACTGTGCCAGAAACATTTTGTATCTTGGTAAAACTTGTAGGGAAGATTAAAAGGAATCTATAGATAGAGTTGTTTTTCTATCTGAAAAAGATTCCCTTGGAAGATATGGATGGCTAAATGAAGCTGGGATTCTAACTGAAACATTAGGAATTGAAACTTTGAATAAACACTCCAAAGAAATAAATATAGTTTTACATTGTGATAATTGAACTTTAACTATCAGAAAGTCAGAATTTAGATTGAGCATTTTTCTAGATAAGAAGATTTATATGGTGAGAAGGAATTGCTTTCTCTTCCGGCTGTCAGAGTCATTCAGTTTTTAAATTGCTGTCAGCACATTTTTTCACCCTTTATACTTTTCCATCTACTTGTACATTGCCTTTTATGACAGATCAAAGATTCTGTGTCAAATTATATCACCTGGTGCATTGTGGAGATGAAACACCCATCCCTATTCTGTGAAAATGGAGTCAGGCACCAAGTTACAGAGCCCTCCAAACACGGGGTGCTCCCTAGGGCATCCTGACCCCATTTTCCTTCTTATACTAGTGCGTCTGCTAAAGTAATGTTCCAGTTGTAACTGCTGACTCCCTGCTCTAACCCCTCCCAGGATGTGTCTCCTATTACTCGGCACCCCCTGCAAGCACTCTTCATCTGGGCCATTCTTCAGAACAAGAAGGAACTCTCCAAAGTCATTTGGGAGCAGGTAAATGCCCAATCCCTTGGCAAATATACGCTTTGTTGTGGTTGTTCTGACCTTCTCAGAACTCACACACGTGTGCGCATGTGCATCCACGCTCAGTCGTGTCTGACTATTTGCTACCCCAGAGAGTATAACCCACCAGCCTCCTCTGTCCTTGGAATTTTCCAGGCAAGTATACTGGAGCTATTTGCCGTTTCCTTCTTTAGGGGATCTTCTTGATCCAGGGTTTGCATCTCCTGGATTGGCAGACTGATTCTTTACCACTGCACCACCTGGGGGGCCTAATCTTAAAGCATCACTAATGAAATGAAATATTTGATGTAACGAAAATGGTTGTGGCTTGTTTTTATGTGAACAGAGGTGTGTTTGGGAGGGGAGGTCTCTGGAAAGTCCTGGGCTTTGTGGGCAATCCAGGAAGCACTTACTGCTTAGGTGTGTGTGGATGTGTGATTATTTTCCAAGAGGATGAGGTTTTTAAGTTTAGTTAAAAAATTAATTTCTAGCTTTATCACATTATAGACAGGAAGGGAGGGCCTGTACAAAATCTGCCCTGGGAAATGATTGATATTTTTCTCTGTGATTCCATACATAATGATTTTTATAAATGATTTATGAGCAGTTGAAAAGCAGTTATCTTCTCCATTTTTAGAGCCTACAGTTAGGTACTAAATATTAATTCACACACAGTCTCACTAACTCATTGTCAGATCTTTGTACCCTTGGCCACTTAACCATGGGGGGGCGGTCTTCAGACCTCCCACTGCCCCATCTAACTGTCAGCTTGTCCTGCATTGATCTTCATACTGTCTTTTTGTCTGTTAATTCCGTGCTCAAGACTGTGAGTATATTCAGGTTCAGGACTCTCGGTGCACACTGCACTTCTTGCTGGGAATCCATTCCCTGCTTTTGCCACAATTTTTTTCCTTGTCTGACTTTGATGTTGGCTTGACCACAAGGGATTTAGAATTAACTGCAGCATGCTCACCTCTCTGAAAGACCAGGGGCTGTACACTGGCTGCCCTGGGGGCCAGCAAACTTCTGAAGACTCTGGCTAAGGTGAAGAACGACATCAACGCTGCAGGGGAGTCGGAGGAGCTGGCAAACGAGTACGAGACCCGGGCAGTGGGTGAGTCTCCCGGAATGGGACCCGGGGCTGGCACAGTCACGCTAGGGGGCATTTACTGACTTTCCTAAGATTGAAGGTGGGGAAAAATGGGGGCTTCCTCACCCCACAGCCTCCCAGAGCCATATCCAGATCAAGTCTAAGTAACTCAGCACCGGAGGGGAGCCTTGGAGTGTTGCTATTCAGAAGCCGTGACAGGTCTGAGGTTTTACCTGACGTGTGAGCTAACAGGTTAGCCTGCTAGTCTCCCATACCCATACCTAGGGAAGACCCCAGAACCCTAGTTAGGGGACACAGAGTTTATTACTAATGGGAAAGGCAGCATTCAGAACAGCATCCAGGGTTGTTCCTTGTGCCTTGATTCCCCACGGGGTGATGTGAATAAGAACTGGTGTTGACAGCCCCACAGCTCCCCTAAATCAGGAGACTCAGGGCCTCTATAATAAGAGATGACAGGCGAGCTGCCCAGCTCCCCCTCCAGGAGGAGGTTTCTCATCACCTGGAACAGAAGAGGGCAGAGGCCTTGCTGAGTCTGATGCTCCCAGAACATCTGTCCTCCGTTTGCTACTCACCTGCCCTTGAACAAAGCTTATCAGTGCCCCTGCTCAGAAGTCCTGGACCATGCGGTGTGAGAAATCCAGGACCAAGTTGCCTCCCAGAAACACAGAATGTTAGACCAGTTCTATTTTTTTTTTCCCACTTGGGAGTTTTAAGTTTCCAGACATGTTTATCTGTTGTCTTATCTAATGAAGAAATTCTCATGAGTTGAGCTTCTCTATGTTGGAAAAAAAGTGATTGTTTTCTTCTAATATAGTTAAAATTTGAAGATATCGTGTTGATTTTGGATTGACTTAGCTAGTCTATGACTGCTAACACTTTGACTTTTAAAATAGTTCCTCTGAGGATCAGCACACCAATCTCTTTGTCATAAGAGCACAAAATATGAGCTTATGTGTCAAAATATGAGCACATCCTCAATGCAACTGGTCAGTGTTTTTTATTACATCATTTTGGCTTTTTTTTTTTTTTTTTTTTTGGCACTGTGCCTTAACTGCAAAGACCCTCGCCAAGAAAGCACAGAAGGTAAATGAGATGGCTGAGGGTTTGAATCCTCTCCCCACTGGCTGAGCCCCACCGAAACTCCCTGGGTTCACGTCAACTCAATGGGCATTTCTGACACCTGCCACCAGGAGGTGCTGTAATGGGCGTGGGGTGCACATTACTTGCTCCGTAGGGAATTCTCTTGTATTGGCCTTCTCTCTGCCTTATAAACCAGGATAGTCACAGCCGGGATTTTGTGGAAGTCAGGGCTTGACTTGGGAAAGGGGCAGGGTGAGAAAGTTCTATGTATAGGCCAGCCCTGCCTCCCTCTTCCCTCTCTCTGGGGATGCTGTTGCTTAGAGCTGTTCACAGAGTGTTACAGCAATGACGAGGACTTGGCGGAACAACTCCTGGTCTATTCCTGTGAAGCCTGGGGCGGAAGCAGCTGTCTGGAGCTGGCGGTGGAGGCAACGGACCAGCATTTCATTGCCCAGCCCGGGGTCCAGGTAAGCAGCACACTGTCAGCAAACAGCATGCCTAGAAATGGGCCTTTCCCATCAGCTGGGTCTCTGGACCCAGTGTACCTCTAGCTTGGTGTAGGGATGGGCCAGGTTACACAGCTCTCTGAGCCTTAGTTTCCTTATCTGTAAAATGGGCAGAGTAGGGGGTAAAGAAAGGGTTGCTATGAGGATTTGACGAGACAGTACGTGAGTGGAGCCAGCCCTTTATGGTAGCAGTTACTGTTACAGCCATTATCAGCAGTGATGGCAGCAGAGAATTTAGCATGAAGTGGGTTCAGCCACTGTAGATGCTTCCTGCCTTGAGTTACACTCACAGCAATTTGCGTGTCCTGTCTCAGGTTTGGGAGGGGAGATGCTTCACCCACCGTCCCAGCTGGAGGAAAGGGAGGAAGGTAGGGAAGAGGACAGACTGACACTCATCTACACACTGCTTGTACATGCAGTCACACTTCATCTTCACAGCATGCGTCCAGGTCGACATCGCCCTGCTCTACTGATGAAGATTACACAATTAGAGTTACAGTTGGTTACGGTTCATAGGTTTAGTGAATTTGGACTCATACAGCCTCTATTTTAAAGTCCACAGAACTCAACATAGGACAGGACTGAGCATCAGGCAGAAGTTTCAGTGGTTTAATCATAGCCCCTTAGAATCCAGGTAGCCAGTAGAGAAGAATAAGGATCTCAATTCAGAGAGTGAGGGGAGAGTTGAGGGCTGGGAAGGAAGGTCGCCCACCATCTGGCAAGTCATCGCACTGATAAGGACCTGTTCCTTTGTCTGTTTCCTCTAGAATTTTCTTTCCAAGCAGTGGTATGGAGAGATTTCCCGAGACACCAAGAACTGGAAGATTATCCTGTGTCTGTTTATTATACCCTTGGTTGGCTGTGGCTTTGTATCATTTAGGTATGAAACCAAGCCACACAATAGTGTGTGTGTGTACATGCATCTGTGAATGCGTGAGCACCTGTGTGTGTACAAGCATCTCTGTGTGTGTATATGCATCTATGTGTGTAGACGTACTTGTGTGTGTACAAGCATCTGTGTGTGTGTATATGCACCTGTGGGTGTATAAGCATCTGTGTGTATACAGATATCTGTGTGTGTAGATGTACTTATATGTGTACAAACATCTGTGTGTGTACAAGCATCTGTGTGTACTTACATCTGTGTGTAGATGTACTTGTGTGTGTACAAGCATGTGTGTACCAGTGTCTGTATGTGTGCATGTACTTATGTGTGTACAAGCATCTGTGTGTGTATAAGTGTCTTGTATGTGTATAAGCATCTATGTATACATTCACCTGTGGGTGTACGAGCATCAGTGTGTACATGCTTATGTGTGTGTACATTCATCTGTGTGTACAAGCATCTGTGTCTGTACAATGTCTGTGTCTGTGCACATATCTCTCTGTGTGTGCTCTCATGTAAAGAAAGCATTGTAAGGCCAGGAATTTATGACGTCCACTCTAGTGCCTGCACACATTAGGTCTGGGTCTCCGTGGACTTTCTCTGGGTTTGAAACAGGTAGAAGTGGGGTCATGTCCTTATATCCATGGCAGAATTTGGATCTGGCAACTGAGAAATGTCAAGGCTGAATTCTGGCTGCCTGGCCCCGGCCCGGCTGTGGGTCTGTGTTCATCTGTGTTCAGAAGGAGAGATGAAGCCCACACAGCGCCGTCGGCTGGGACGGTGACAGGGCTGTCCCCTCTCGGTCCAGGAAGAAGCCCCTGGACAAGCCCAGGAAGCTCCTGTGGCACTATGTGGCCTTCTTCACCTCCCCGTTCGTGGTCTTCTCCTGGAACGTGGTCTTCTATATCGCCTTCCTCCTGCTCTTCGCCTACGTGCTGCTCATGGATTTCCACTCTGTGCCCCACGCCCCAGAGCTGGTCCTCTACGCGCTAGTCTTTGTCCTGTTCTGTGATGAAGTGAGACAGGTAGGTCAGCCCTCATGTGGGCGCCTCCTCCTTTCCTCACTGGGTGGTGTCTTCCTAATGCCACGGAGGATCAGAAGTTGCTCCTGAAGTCCCAAAGTCACTGTTTCCCCCAAACAAATGTTCTCATTAGGTAATCACCCATGAACATGAAGACGCACTTCCATGAGATCTCTTAGCCCCAAGGCCATGCTTTGCTATGTAATTAATGTTAATGGAGATAAATTACTCGGGATCAGAACTGTGTTCAAAGAGCAGGTTGACCTTGGACTCTAAACCCACTCCTGTGTTTAGGGTTTAGGAGCTACTTGTGGTCCTGTCTGTACCATCACCGGGGGAGGCAGCACCATGAATGGCAGGGGGACTGGAAGGACTTTCCATTTAAGAGCATCTCGATGCCCAGTTGGGAATTCATATTCATCCTTGTGAATTTCAGGGAGTTGGTGTCAATTATTCATGGTGCTTTTCTGTAGTTTCTTGGGATCTGCATTGTTCGACATCCCCTTCCCACTCTTTTTTTTTCCCCCCAATGGAAAGTGATTTTATTTTATTTTTTCCATTTATTTTTATTAGTTGGAGGCTAATTACTTTACAATACTGTAGTGGTTTTTGCCTTCCCACTCTTGAATCCAAACTTGGGCCAGGCTGGGCGTGTAGCAGTGCTCAGTTAATAGTTGTTGAATAAATAAATGTTGATGGTGAAGGTCAGTGCTGTCCCTAAACCATCATAAAAAGTCATCCAGAAAATCCTTTTAAAATGATAATTTGCAAAGTGTATGAGAATTGCTCTTGCTGTCACTCTCGTCCCATATGAGCCCAAATGCAAGAACATATCCATTCAACAAGTACGGCCTAGTGCCTATAGGTTATGAGGCGCTGTGCCAAGTGATACAAGATGTTTGGAGGGGCAAAGGAAACCGGTCTTGACCTCACAGAGTCACTACCTAGAATGGGAATCCTAAATTGGTTTCAACTATCATGCCAACTCTAATAGATGCCTTTTGGTGACTTCTAGGGTCCCTGGGTTGAGAAAGACTCTGAGGCTCTGTTTTCAGCAGGAGAGCATCTTAATGAATTAGCAGCATCTGCCATGGGCACAAGGGATAGCAGAAGTCCTGGCACCAATGTCCTGGATCTGCCTTTGCTTATCCAGTAGGTGGGAGTTGCAGGTGTGGACTGGAGATGGGGTACAGGTAGAGGTGTGTTGAGCATAGTGAGATTATCAGGCCTGTGGTCTACCAGCAGTTCTCCCCCAGGTCCTGGTCCTGCTGATGTGCACAAGGCTTCTATGATCTCAGATCAGCCTCACAGGAGCCCCAGCACTGGCTCAAGAGGTCACAGTTCAGTCCAGGGCCCTTCTGTATGAGTCCATGAGGGCTAGGGCTGCGATGATGAAGCACCACCACGTGGGTGGCTGAAACAACACAAGTTCATCATCTCATTGATCTGAGGGTCAGAAGTCTGAGATCAGGTTGTGGGCAAGGTTGGTTCCTTCTGAGAACGTGAGGGAGAACCTGTCTGAGGCCCCTCATCGTTCCTGGAGACTTGCTGGCCATCTTTGCTGTTCCTTGGCCATAGATGCGTTGTTTGATCCCTGTGCTCATGCTCACACCACCTTCTCCCTGTGTGTGTGTCTGTCCATCTCCCTTTGTCATGAGGATGCTAGTCATTGGGTCAGGGGCCCATCCTGCTCCAGTATGACCTCATTTTAACTAATCCACACCTGCAAGGACTCTACGTCCAAACAAGGGGCTGGGGGGTATTCCTTGGAAGTATCAATTTGGAGGGGACACGGTTCAACCCACAGCTCCTTCCATGTAGTCTATCAGTGCTGTCTTTACTTGCTAGTTCTCTCTCTCTCTCTTTTTTTGGACTTAACTACATATCAGCAGCCAGCACAGGAAAATACCTGCATGAGAGAATCAGAGAAAGATGGAAGGACAGTCAACAATTAAAACAGAAATGGGTCATTGTGAGAGTTAACCAAGTTAAACTAGGACCTCTTGAGTTGTGTTGTCATGGGAGTTGGCACTGCCCAGGGTCACACATGCTTCCTCCTAGACCAGTGGGGTCTCGGGCTGGGGCCCCGCCTCCCTCCCTTTGCTCTGCTTCTGGGCGTGGTTGACTACCTTTCAAAGCCACATCAAAGAGAAAGCTTAGCTACTGCAGAGTCCTCTGTGGATGGGGGATGCCCAGCAGGGAAATCACTCATGAGCCCAAAGAAGTGGAGAGGGAGAGAGAGAGAACCAGCAGGAGTTGCAAGCAGTATGGTTGTTGTTCATTTCTCAGTTGTGTCTGATTCTTTGTGACCCCATGGACTGCAGCACGCCAGGCTTCCCTGTCCTTCACTGTCTCCCAGAGTTTGCTCAAACTCATGTCCATCCAACCATCTCATCCTCCATCATCCCCTTCTCCTCTTGCCCATAATCTTTCTTAGCATCAAGGTCTTTCCCAATGAGTCAGCTCTTTCCATCAGGTGGCCAAAGTACTGGAGTTTCAGCTTCAGCACCAGTCCTTCCAATGACTGTTCGGGGTTGATTTCCTTTAGGATGGACTGGTTGGATCTCCTTGCAGTCCAAGGGGCTCTCAATAGCATGGTAGTAACTGAATTTCTTTGATCTTCTGGTTTCCCATCCATAAATGGGCATCTTTCCTACTGTAAGCAGTAATTTTTTTCAGTTTTATTGAGATGTTATTGACATATAGCCCTGTATCCTTTCAAGGTATGAAATGTAATGACTTAACTTACATAGAACTGGGAAATGATCGTCACAGGAAGTCCCAGAGAGGAACAACAGGATTGGGTGCCTTGTGAGGCAACCTCGCCCATCTCATCCACATCAACTCTGCTGGGGAGTTCCAGCTCCTCGCCCAAACTCTGCTCCTGACCAGAAGTGGGTGGCAGGGAAATGACTTCATTCAGACATTTGTTTCTTATTCACATTTGATCCCTGGGAACTAGCATAGGAGCCAGTGCTACTGTGTTTCCGACAAGTGTGTGTATCTTTTTAAAAAATGAATTGACAAGGCGGGGTCTTCCTGACTGAGCCCCAGAGCTGTGCTGTGACTGAGAATAAGTGGGAATCCCTAAGGCCAGAGCTGGGTATTGGGGAGGAAGCTCATAGGAAGGGCTCAGGGGTACCTTTTTGGGCAGTGGGTGCTGTTGGCAGCTGCTTCGTGCAACAATTGATAAAGAGTTCTTTTCCTGCTCTTGACTGCCCCTTACGCTCCCAACATTTCTCCCCTGGTCCCACTCCTGACCCTGCCTCCTGGCTGCATTTCATCACAGAGCCTGCGATGTGAGTCCCAAGGTCATCTGTATCCTCCAGGCACCTAAAGGAGCATCAGGTCCAGAGAGAGGGCTTCTCCTGGGCTGCTCTGGGGGCAGAGCTGGGCCTGAATGGAGGATGCAGGGAGAGTCATCCTGGCTCAGGCCAGCACACTTTATCCACAGCCTCCTTCTTTGAACAGATATTTGTTGAACACCTACCAGATGTCAGGCAGTGTTTAGACCCAGGGATGAAACACGCAGGCAAACATCTCTGTCCTCATAGACTTTTTACCAGTTAGAGATAGCCGTCAGGGTCATTTGCGAGAGCTTTCAAGGAGAGGAGGTGAGCATGGCAGGTAGTGTAGAATGAGTGAGTTTTGAGCTGATGGGGAGGTTGACGGAGAGGACCCAAGAGAGTGAAATTCTAAGTCCTCTCAGCACAAGCGTGTCCCTTCAGATTCGGATGCATATTAGCTGCTCGTCACTGATTCGGGTCATGCAGGAAAGAGCCTCAGGACAGGTGCATTTAGCTTGGAGAGGGACTCTGGGCAGGTGGAGGGCGTGGAGGGCTGCTCAGGAGAGACACAGAGGGGACTCTGCATGGGAGCGGACGGTGGGCTGCTGTGCTACCCAGTTACTCCCCAGGCTTGATGTGATGCCCACAGCGTCCGACTGGGTCCCGGCTGTCCTGCCTTCCAAATGGGTGATATTTGACCACGTGTGGCTCTGTCCAAGTTTGTCCTCTCCTTCTCTGTAAAAAGCTATTCTTTTAAATTTATTTTTAATCGGAGGATAATTGCTTTCCAACGTTGTGTTGGTTTCTGCTGTACCATGACGTGAATCAGCTGTCAGTATAAATACATCCCCTCCCTTTCAAGCCTCCCTTCCACCTGCCCATCCCACCCCTCTGGGTCCTCACAGAGCACCGAGCTGACCTCCCTGTGTTACATGGCAGCTCCCACGAGCTATCTGTTTTACGCATGGTGGTGTACACATGACAACGCTACCCTCTCAATTTGTACCCCCATCCTCCCCCAGCTGTGTCCACAAGTCTGTTCTCTATGTCTGAGTCTCCATTCCTGTCCTGCAATTAGATTCATCAGTATCATATCTCTACATTCCATATATATGCATTGTAAGCGTGCATGTTCAGTCATGTCATGTCTGACTCTGCGACCCCATGGACTTTAGCCTGCCAGGTTCCTCTGTCCATGGGATTCTCCAGGCAAGAATACTGGGGTGGGTTGACATTTCCTCCTCCAGGGGATCTTCCTGACCCTGGGATCGAACTCGTATCCTCTGCGTCTCCTTCGTTGCAGGCAGATTCTTTTACTACTGAGCCATCAAGGAAGGCATATATATACATATATATATATATATATATATGCATTAATATATGATACTTGTTTTTATCTTTCTGACTTCATTCTGTATAACAGGCTCTAGGTTCATCCTGTAAAAGTTCTTCTTGAAGGGGGAGTTTGAATTCAGCAACCTTGCGCATTAAGGCGATGGTGAAGGACATGCTTAGGGTCAGGAGCGTGGGGCCCAGGCCAGCCCTGCCATCCGAGAGCCGCTCTGATTGTGTGGTCTGTGAGCCAGTCTGCGTCGCCAGCCAGCCTTGCAGATTCTTGTCATTTCAGGACTCTGACACTAGAGGTCGGTGTTTCCCCTCGGGTCTGCAGTCTCAGGCCTTTGGAATCCTCCATGCGGCTGGTTTCCTCAAACCATCAGTTCTGCCAGCCTGGTACTGTCTTCATTAACCCAATTCACACTTGTTAGCGAAAATCAAAACCAGGAGGGATGTTACCTGTTTCAGATCGTGTCTGGGTGTCAAACGCATGCTCCTCAGTGTCTGTCTGGGTCCTCTTGCCCGTGGGGGGATGGTGGTGGCAGAGGCTGCTCTGTTAATTGGAATTTTTAACCAAGGCAATCAATAAGTGCAAACAGAGTTAGTTGCTAAATAGCTCTTAGGTCTATTAAGCAGTCTGTGAATGTTTATTTAAAATGAGGCAAGTCCCAGCATCCCTTCATGGAGAGCACACTCATTCTTCAGGCCCTCGAATCCCCCAGTCCTGAGAAAGATGGTGAAATATGGTATTTTATGAATGTAGCCTGACCCTGGCATTCCATTCAGAAAAGAGACTGCTGTTCCTTTTTAAAAATGTCTTCTTACTGCAACAGTGTCTCCCAGCCGCAGAATTGATCTACTTACTGTTCCTCCCATCACGAGATCAGAGTCTGAGCCAGGCTGGCGCTGTCCTATTGCCCTGTGCCTACCTGCCTTGCAGGCCAAGGTCTCAGAGAGGGAAGTAGGTGGCAGGTAGAGCCTGTCCCAATCACCCTCATCACCCCTGGGTGGGTGGTGATCCACGTCACTGGGGTCACCCAATGGACCGTTAGAGATCTGAGCCCACGAGATCTGCCACCCCACAGGGAAACAGGGTCAGATCAGGCTGCTTACATCTGGGGGATTTTTTTTTTAGTGTTTTTATTTTTTTTAATTAAAGTTTTTATTTTGTATTGGGGTATAGCCAATTAAGGGCTTCCCCAGTGGCTCAGTGGTGAAGAACCCACCAGCCAAATGCAGGAGATGTAGGAGACCCAGGTTCAATCCCTGGGTTGGGAAGATCCCCTGGAGAAGAGAGGGCAACCCACTCTACTATTCTTGCCTGGAGAATCCCTGGGACAGAGGAGCCTGGCGAGCTACAGTCCATGAGGTCACAGAGTCAGATACGACTAAAGCGACTGAGCACACACATAGCCAACTAATAATGTCGTGATAGTTTCAGCTGAACAGTGAAGGGACTGTTCCATGTATCCATTCTCACCCAAACTCCCTCCCATCCAGGCTGCCACACAACATTGAGCAGAGCTCCATGTGCCATACGGTAGGTCCTTGTTGGTTATCCATTTTAAATATAGCAGTGTGTACCTGTCCATCCCAAACTCCCTAACTGCCCCTCCCACCGGTGCACCTGGGGACTGTAATACTTTCTTGGTGCTTGATTTCATAATGCTCTCACCCCCTTGTCCACAAAAGTTGCCATTTGCATTTATCAACGAGTGAGGAGAAGGGCTTCTTGAGAAACTGATGCTGTCTCTTGGATCTCTTCCAAATCTAAGACTGGGGGATCCCTGTGGAGTGTAAAGAAGTGGGGTGATGCTGGAGAGAGGAAACCAGATTTCAGAACCCCGAGACCCACCACTTGCTGCCTTTCTGTCTTTGGGCGAGTTCCTTTGCTTCTTTTTCTCAGGCCTTGGCTTCAGGTGCAGAATAGGAAAGGAGATATCTGGATAGCGGGTGGCCCATGGTGGTGAGTTCATGTAGAAAAGTGCCATGTCCCTTTGATGATGCATCTTTGTGGTTATTTTCCTCTTCCTTGAGTGAGGCAGGTACATAGTTTCCTTATCTGAGCTCACTGGGACCTTTGGTCTTACCTCCCCGCTCACTCTTATCACGTTTCATTTTAAACATGTTTAACATCTATCTTTCCCATGGGCCAGTGGATTCCTTGAGAGTCCACAGTGCACCCAATCTGATGACTCTGTGTTTCAGGAGTCCAGCACAGGTATCTGCAATCCCGTGGGCTCTCAGTAAATATGTTCTGAATGGATGAGCAAATGACAGGTGACATGACCTCCCTGGAATCACCCAAATCTAGTGGATGGATTGCCAGAGAGGCTGTCCCGATGCAGCCTCTTCTAATGGATAATCTTATCCCTCTTTAAGTGTTTTCCTGACATGCTTTCTTCTGAGAAATCATGACTGATATATACACATAATGACAAACCGATCCTTGAGACACATCATTCCTGTCAGTCGTTTCTGTGACCACATCTGTCCTCTTAGGTGCCATGCATAGCACCTGCGTGCCAAAAAAGGGTTTTTAAAACTTCTGAAAAAAGTTCCTTTTTTCAAGATGTTTTATTGTCATGTGTCAGAAAATATTTATAGTAAACACACAAATCTGTGATGACAGCAGAATGGGTAACACCCTTGAAGAGTTGTCCAGTGTACAGCCTACACCACTGTACATGGCAGTTGGGGAAGGGTTCCAACTTGGCCCACACAGGCTCTACAGGTTCTTCTTTAAAGAACAGTAAAGATCCATGTGTCTTTGTTAGCAACATATGAACAACAGAACAACAAGCGTGCGACCTTACTTTCCAATCCCCTGGGAATCACAGGGAGCAGTTGTAGGGTGTACTCGGTACGTCACAGACTCAAAATGGATCTGGAGAGAATACGTGAGCACGAATAAACCTGGATGCGGTTGATGTTCCAGCTGTTGCATCCTTTCTGTCCCTCTCTGCTCCGCAGTGGTGCGTGAACGGCGTGAATTACTTTACTGACCTGTGGAATGTCATGGATTCACTCGGGCTTTTCTACTTCATAGCAGGAATTGTGTTTCGGTAAGTAGTCCTCACCATGTTTTCAAGCGTCAGGTGTTTGCGGAGTCTCTCAGGTGGAAAGGTGGAGGAAAGACATTTCAAGCCCAACATAAGTGACATAGGATGAAATATGGTCCTTATATTTTATGAATACCGGGCTTCCCTGGTGGCTCAGTGGTAAAGAATCCGCCTGCCAATGCAGGAGACAGGGGTTCGATCCCTGGGTCGGGAAGATCCTCTGGAGGAGGAAATGGCAGTCCACTGCAGTATTCTTGTCTGGGAAATTCCATGGACAGAGGAGGCTGCAGACTACAGTCCATGGGGTCACAAAGAGTCAAATACAACTTAGTGACTAAACAACAACAACAACAACGTCATAAGTATGGTGGTGGCAGCTTAGTCATTAAGTCGTGTCCAACTCTTGTGATCCCGTGGACTGTAGCCTGCAAGGCTCCTCTGTCCATGGGATTCTCCAGGCAAGAATACTGGAGTGGGTTGCCATTTCCTTCTCCAGGGGATCTGCTACCCAGTTAGACCCAGGAATCGAACTTGGGTCTCCTGCACTGCAGGCAGATGATTTACCAACTGAGCTATGAGGGAATAGACTATCTCCAGAACACTATTCAGAAAAGCGGTTACTATTCCTTTTAAAAAAATGTTTTCTTACTATAGCAGTCCCTCTGAACCCCAGAACTGGTTTGCTTATAGTTCTTCCCATCACGTGGCTGGAAGGCTGAGCCAGTCTGGGGCTGCCCAGTTGCTATGTATCCTCCCCGTCCCTACCATTTAGAGACAATGCCCATTGTCACTGCCTCTTGGAGACACAGCCTGGTTGATATAAAGTTGTGTCTCCTCTCATCCCCCCTCTTGGTGATCTGTAATTGGAAAGGGGTTCTTCATGGTTTTTCTCTTTGTGCTTATAGAATTTGGGGAGAGGAAATTAGAAATTGAAGGCCCTAGAGAATGATGAGGGTGTAAATATCACACAGCATTTTCCTTTGAGGCCATGTAATCGAACATGCATTTAACTTCAACTCGAATATTGGTTCTGGAGCCTGCCCTCCCAGCTGCAGGGTTTCCTCAGTCTCAGAGCTTGTGATTAGAAAAGCCAGTTGGAAATGTGTTTGGAGGGAAAAAGCAACGTGACTCCACCTGATAGGGATATTGGGGTGCACCCAAACTGTGAACCCCCTTGCCCAGTCCTGCCCCTTCCAGACCTGCCTCCCCAGTAGCTTCAAGGTGAAACTCCTTGCTCCTTCTTCTGATGGAGCAGAGAAGCTTGACTATTCCTATTTACACCCACTTAGAATGAGAAGCTTTACAGTGAATGCTCACTCTATGATGTGAACTGGGTAAAGCTCGATTTCCTCCTTCAAAACCTCCCTTTCTGCTGGGGTTAAAGGCCCAGCTTTTGGATCACGGTTGAATGTGATTTCTGGATCATTCCAGCTAGAAAGCACAAGGTTTTCAATGAACATGCTAGCAGATGGTTAGTTAATCAAATGATCTGGTGCAAATGAGGTAAGCTTCACTGGGGGGAACCTGGCAGGCTCAGGTCCCAAGTGGTTGGCATCACTGTGGCAGCCTTGTGAGCCGGGAAGTTAGTGATGATGGGATTGGGCCCTACAGTAGTACAATAAATTCCCTATATTCGAACGTGTTGTGTTCAGGGAGTGTGTTCATTAAGTCTGACAAAGTTAGCCCAGGGACCCACATAACACAATCTGCTATATAGTACTGTACTGTAATAGAGTGACAGTACTTTTCACACGAATAGTACATTAAAAACAAACACAAAAAATGAAACATTTTTGATCTTACAATATGGTACCTTGAAAAGTACAGTAGAACCAGCTAAATCATGCTGCTTTTATGCTTGCTTCTGGACATCCTAGGCTCGACATAAAGTTACAGTACTACTGGAGTCGACGCTGTTGTTAAGTTACTAAGTCATGTCTGACTCTTCGCAGCCCCATGGACTGTATCCCACCAGGCTCCTCTGTCCACTAGATTTCCCAGGCAAGAATACTAGAGAGGGTTGCCATTTCCTTTTCCAGGGAATCTTCCCGACCCAGGGATCGAACCTGCATCTCCTGCGTTGGCAGGCAGATTCTTTACCGCTGAGCTGCTGGGGAAGCCCAGGCTACACAGTACTTTACAGTAAAGTACACAAAGCACAATTCTAGAGGACGCATGCTCTTGACAGGTACACCAGACAGCTGAGCTAACGTACATAATTGGACGTGGGAACCCATATTTGCATCTTTGAAAGTTCGCGTCTTGAAGGTTCATGTGTAGGGGACTTACTGTGTTTAGGCGGAAGGACTGAAGCGTTGGGAATATTGAGAGCTCTGTTGTGCGTGATGGCCTCATCTCCCCTGGAGCCCACTAGGGCAATGCACGTGGCCTTTGGTTTCCAGTGACTGAAGGGCAGGTATAGACCCTGGTCTATTTGCGCCTTCAGTTCCCAGGCTTTTGGCTGTTTCTTCACATTTGGCTATTTTTAAAACTAAAACTTTGATTATAAATCAACTACACTTCAGTAAAATTTAAAAAAAATACTAGCAAGTAAAATCCAGAAATAAATAAAAGTGATACAAAAGCACAGCTTTGAAATGTTTTGTCAGCATCTCACAAATTCTTTCCCCTTCTTTCCACAGGCTCCACCCTTCTAACAAAACCTCACTGTACTCGGGGCGAGTGATTTTTTGCCTGGATTACATTATATTCACCCTAAGGTTGATTCACATTTTCACGGTCAGCAGAAATTTAGGACCCAAGATTATAATGTTGCAGAGGATGGTAAGACTAAAGAGTGTTTGTGGTTAGTTGTCCTTCTTCTGACTGTACCCAGGGTTCCTTTCATTGCTGAGAGGAACTTTTTCTCCACAGAGTGATGGTTGCATTTCATAATCAGTAATATTTGTTTTTTTTTTTTATCTGTTTTCCTCAGGGGCCCCTTCCGGGTTAAAATTTAATGAAGGATGACTATTGGGAGTAAACTGCATAACTCAGCACATTACTAGTAAAGATCTCTATTTAGACGGTCCACGTTACCAAGTGCTTTCACTTGAGTCTTAAGTATTCACTAGGAGTGGCACAGTGGTAAAGAATCTGCCTGCCTATGCAGGAGATGCAAGAAACTCAGATTTGATCGCTGCATGGAAAACATCCTCTGGAATAGAAAATGGCAACCCACTCCAGTATTCTTGCCTGGAGAATCCCGAGGACAGAGGGGGCTGGTGGGCTATAGTCCATGGGGTCACAAAGTCGGATACGACTGAGCACGCGTGCATAGGCAGGATAGGGAATTTTACACCCATCTCATAGATGTGGACAGTCGGGTTCAGGAGGTTCACATGTTTGTCTGGAGACATGAAGTGAGCTAGAAGCACAGCGAGGTCTGGAACTTTAATCTTAAAACCACGTAATACGGACCTTGGGGAAGCACCACCAGACCCGTTTCAAGGGGTCAGATAACAGAAAGATAATTACACACTGACCATGTTGCTTCTGCCAGCTTGTTTTCCATGTGACCCAAACCTCCGTGTTTTTGTCTTTAAATCAGATGGGCGTTTGAATGAGCTCATCTCAAGGTTCCTTTCCAGCACTGAGCTCCTTTGAGTTTGTGGTTTTAATTCAAAGCATATCTGGGGCATCAAGTCACCATGAAGTCATGCTTTGTGTGCAGAACATTAAAAACAGTATAATGGTGCATTGTTGTCTAAAAAGGAGACTTTTTCCTTAAAAAAAAAAAGCAGTAACTCAGGGGTCGGCTGGAGAGGAGGGGGGTGCTGTGGAGTTGGGGCCCTCTTCTGCTCCCAGGCTGGTCTCATTCAGAAAGTTTCTGCTGCTGAGCTGGCCTGGGGACCTGCAAGCAAAGATGCATCCATCAGTGGATGCCCTGAGACCCAGGGGTGATGATGGCCATGTTTAAAAATTGGTGAGCGGATGATGCTGCCTGCCTCAGGTTCTTGGGGCCCCTCTGCCTTCTCCGTGGTCAGCAGAGCAGCCGAACCGCCCTGGCGCAGTCCTGACTCTGCTCTCCTGTCTTCCTCCCTCGACAGCTGATCGATGTATTCTTCTTCCTGTTCCTCTTTGCCGTGTGGATGGTGGCCTTTGGTGTGGCCAGGCAGGGGATCCTTAGACAGAATGAGCATCGCTGGAGGTGGATCTTCCGCTCAGTCATCTATGAGCCCTACCTGGCCATGTTTGGCCAAGTGCCCAGCGATGTGGACGGTGAGCCTGACATGGTCTGGGTGGGAACGGCTGGGAGGCGGAAGATGCTTCCAGAACCAGCCCCCAGGGAGCCTCCAGGGCTCCCTGGTTTGACCCTGAGGGCTGTCCTAGGAACAGGCTGCTAATGTCTGGCTAACATCAGGCAGTGGACACTAACCCTCAAAGCCTTTTCTCTCTCCTGAGCAGAATCTTATGTACCCTGGCAAGCTTGTCCCCAGCATCTCAGCCTGCAATTTTTAAACCTTCTTAAAAAGAGTGTTTCTCAGATTTCTGACAGCAGCATGGCCAATGACAGCCAGAATCCTCACTGGTGTAGAAAAGAGTGTTGTGGCTCCATCCAGAGTTACAGGGTACCCGTTTATTTCAAAAAGGACAATAGTGAAAAATTTTGCCCTGGAACCTGGAATTTAAGCTTCTGGTATGAGCTCACTGCCAACCATCTGGAGGCAGGTTAATGGTAGCAAAGATGGCATTAATTTGATCACAGCCAGTTGGCATAAGGAAAGCGTGGGGCATGTGCAAACTGGTGTGTGTTTTGGATAAACTGTAGAACATCTTTGTGATGCTGGCGGTAGCTTGGGCTCATCATGTTCTGTCCTGCCACAAGAACCCCCCCCCCCCCCCCCCCCCCCCCCCNCATTTCCCAGCTCCTTGGTGTTTTCTCAATTATCCCCATGGCCTCGTGTGGTCTTTCTGGTGTTTTCTGCTGCAGTCTCTTCCAAGACCTTAGAAACGGCTCTTTTACATGCACTGATGGAAAGGCACCTTGTTATTATTGTTCCCCAATCTGCACTCTGTACTTGCCATTTTACATAAGTGGGTGTGTTTTGTCCTCCCAATAGTCCTACATGTTGGTGGCCTTAGTCCCACGGGAGGCGGTTCATAGTGACCTAAAGAGTCAGTGACAGGCAGTGTTGGAGTCCCGGTTCTGTCACTCATGTGCTGTGTGACCTGGGATGCAGTTGGCACCTTTGCCTTTAAGTTCTGTTGCAGGTAACATGGGTGCAGCACCATCTTCTCTGACTGGCGTCTCACCAACCAGCAGGGCCAAACTCACACGCTCAGAGGAGGATCTCGAGTCCAGAGTGAATCCTGGAGTGCCAGACAGTTACATCCACTGCCTTCTCTAAGATTCTCAGGCAAAACTCCTCATCCTCTCTTCCAGACCCAGACTTTCCCCAAGGCCCCCATTCTAGTCGTTGCCACCAGTCACACAGATGCCTATCAGCCTCTCAATTTACCACCCCACCAAGTGGTAACAAGACACCTGGTAGCCATGTTTATTTTCTTTACCTGTGGCTATTTCTGTTTTGTAGATAAGTTCTTCTTTTTTTTTTTTTTTTACCATTTTTTAGATTCCACATATAAGTGATAGGACTTCCGTTGTGGCTCAGCTGGCAAGGAATCTGCCTGCAATTTGGGAGACCTGGGTTCGATCCCTGGGTTGGGAAGATTCCCCTGGAGAAGGGAAAGGCTACCCACTCCAGTATTCTGGCTTGGAGAATTCCATGGACTGTATAATCCATGGGGTCGCAAAGAGTCGGACACGACTGAGCAACTTTCACTATAAGTGATATTATATGATATTTGTCTTTCTCTTTCTGAGTTACTTAGTATGATGATCTCTAGGTCCGTCCATGTTGCTACAAATGGCATTGTTTCAGGGGAATTTTAGTCAATGAGTGAACACGTGATTCTGAGGCTCATGCCTGGGTGGGTAGAGTGCCTTGGAACAGTGCCCAACAGAATCCACGATCCTCACCTCGTGGCCCTCTGGGTGCCTTAGTGCTGGCCTTTTGAGTGTCCTCACCTGCCTGTTGGTTGCTGCATCCTCAGGTACCACGTACGACTTCTCTCACTGCACCTTCACCGGGAACGAGTCCAAGCCCCTGTGCGTGGAGCTGGACGAGCACAACCTGCCCCGCTTCCCCGAGTGGATCACCATCCCCCTGGTGTGCATCTACATGCTGTCCACCAACATCCTGCTGGTCAATCTGCTGGTCGCCATGTTCGGGTACGTTCTCAGAGACGCGCTGAACATGGTCGGTGATGCGCTGGACGTGCTCGGGGACGCGCTGGACGTGCTCGGGGACGCGCTGGACGTGCTTGGGGACGTGCTCGGGGACATGCTGGAGGTGCTCGGGGACGTGCTGGACGTGCTCGGGGATGCGCTGGACGTGCTCGGGGACACGCTGGACGTGCTCGGGGACGTGCTGGACGTGCTCAGGGATGCGCTGGACGTGTTCGGGGATGCGCTGGACGTGCTTGGGGACGTGCTCGGGGACATGCTGGACGTGCTCGGGGATGTGCTGGACGTGCTCGGGGACACGCTGGACGTGCTCGGGGACGCGCTGGACGTGCTCGGGGACGCGCTGGATGTGCTCGGAGACGCCCTGCTTGGGNGGGATGCGCTGGACGTGCTCGGGGACGTGCTCGGGGACATGCTGGACGTGCTCGGGGATGTGCTGGACGTGCTCGGGGACACGCTGGACGTGCTCGGGGACGCGCTGGACGTGCTCGGGGACGCGCTGGATGTGCTCGGAGACGCCCTGCTTGGGTGTCCAGCCTTGCCGGGCCCTGTGCTGGGCCGGGCTGGAGGCACTGGGAGGGAGGGAGGCAGCAAAGGTCCCCCTTGAGGAGCGTATAATAGAGGTCTCTAGGGCAGTGATGGTCTAGAGTAGGGAGGGGCCTTGAAGGGATTATATTGCAAACGTAGTGTGTTCCTGTGAGCTATAACCTGAGCTTATTTGACCCCAAAGACAGATGACTGTGACTCTCTCCAGCATATTCAGACTGTATGTTAGATACCCTCATAGCACCCTCCCCCGAGTATCACGATGCTGGCCTAACGGTGACTGCATCCCAGCTTAGCTCAAGGTCCTCACTTTCTATGGACTCAGATGGATGGTTTCTAGGGCTTAAGGGACTCAGCCATTAGGTAGTTGCTGCTTTAAACTGTTGAGTTTAAGTACAAGTCAAGAGCACAGGGTCAGGAGACTGACTCTCCTTGGGGCTCACATCTAATGAGGTTGGCTTGAGAACTCGATGGAGACTCTGAAGCATTTTTATTGCCTTTGGTCATTCTCTTTAATACATTTAGAAAATCATGCTTATCTCACCCCTTATTGTTTCTTAAGAGGGTTTCAAAGAGCCCCATGTGGCGATTACAGTGGAGGTACCTTAGTTTTTTATGCTGTTGCTGTGAAGTAGCTAGTTATATTGAATACATGAATCCTGGCACACAGAGAGAGACAAATAGTTTAGAAACAAAATAAAAATGAAAAAATTATTTGTTAAACCTTGGAGTGAATGAAAACTATAGTTGAACCCCAAAACTGGGAAACTATGACAGACAAGAAATACATTTGATTTCATTAAGCAAATATTTTAGGTACAGGGGACCACAGATGGAGTCACATGATAAATGATAGACTGGGGACAGTCTTTGCCTGAATGTGAGCAAAGGCTTCTAATTCTTAAGATAGAATGAGCTCCTGCACACTGGTAAAGAAAAGATGAGCCAGAAGAAAATGGGCAGAGGGAATGCAATTCAGAGAAATTCAAATGGTCCCGAATCATATGGAAGGGGGCTCACCCTTGTTGTGGGAAAGGTCAGATGAAACCACGAGTGAGGTGCTGGTTTAGGATCTGTCAGGTAAACAGACATCACAAGAAGGGTTGGGGGTGGTTCTGGGAGTCTGATTTGTCTCCTAACTTTTGGGAGAGTGATCTAAAAATAGCTATTAAAAGTATGCAAACCTTTGGCCCAACTCCTTCACTTCTGGGAATCTTTACTAAAGGTCCATATGTAAGAGCATTTATTAGATCATTATTTGATGCCTGCCAATAAGGTGATGACAGAACAAAACATGTTCTAGCCGTACCATGGAATATTATGCAGCCCTTAAAAAGAAAAGGTGGGGTTCTCTGTTTATTGACTTGGAAGGATATTTTGTTAAATATAAAAAGCAAAGTGCAGACTTATTTTAGGGTATAATCTTATTTTCTGACAATAAAAAAACAAGAAATTTTAAAAAATCAAGTATATATTTCCCTCATCACAATGATCACATATTACTTCTACAATTAAAAAGAAAAAAATCAGTAAGTTGTCACATAGAGCCGTGAGGGGCACGACTGTAATCGAGGGTCACCTTTCTCTGTTGGTCAGTGGCCTGCCCTTGAGTGAGGCTGGGTGGGGGACGTGTGCATCTGGGAACATCACGCATCCATGGCACTGAGCAGCCAGCGGTTATCTGGTCTTCCGGTGCACGGAGACATCTGACTCTAGTCCAGGTGCCTCCAAAATGTCACTGCTGGAGGAATAGGATGGGGAGACCTCTTTTCCCTCTACAAATTCATTGAAAGAACGTTTGAACGCTTAGCAAACTCCCCAAAATGTCACGGCTTTGCTTAAAATTCTGGAAGTATTTTAGTATTTCCCCACAGTGTTCGGGGTAAATTTCAACCTCCTCCAAGGCTGTCTGTGACCTGAACTTTGAAAACACCTTCAGGATTCCATCCGCAGGCATCCCGCTTGTTCATCCCTGAATGAGGTGATCTGTCCTGCCTGACACTTTTGCAGATGTCACTACTCTGTCGGCATCACCTGTTCCATCTTGACTGCTTTCTCCCCCTTCCCGCTTGTTCTCTAAGGAGCCCAGCACCACCCTTGGCCTGAGTGGTCCACGTGCCCTCCCTACTGTGCATAGTGACCCCATGAGCCCCCTTCATAGCTACAGCCTCTTCTTCCAGACTGTAAGCTCTGGAGGGCAGAGACTCTGTCTGTCTCAGTGCCTGGCCCTTCCTGGGTTTGTTCCATGGATGAAAAGAACAGGATTCTTTCTGCTTTTAGTTCATTATTCGGTCCCCAGTTAGGAGCTTAGCTTCCTGTTCTGTTACTCAGGGTGAAGTGTTAATAGTGAAGTCGCTCAGTTGTGTCCGACTCTGCGACCCCATGGACTGTAGCCCTCCAGGCTCCTCCATCCATGGGATTCTCCAGGCAAGAATACTGGAGTGGGTTGCCATTTCCTTCTCCAGGGGATCTTCCCGACCCAGGGATTGGACACAGGTCTCCTGCATTGCAAACAGATGCTTTACTGACTGAGCCACTAGGGGTGTGTTAACGGTGGATGTCAAACTAGTGACGGGTTCATCACATAGGTAACATCTGCATCAGGTGTGTGGGCCACGGAGGTCACGTGGCCGTTGGTCCCACTGGCCTTAAAGGGGGATGTGCAACCACTCCCCTCCCTCCACCATCACTGGCTCGAACGGGGGTCCTGAAAAGGACTTAGGGATCCAGACACCTGTATTGCTTAAGGGAAGCTGGACCATCTCAGGCTGCTGAAAGTCCCCAAGTCTGAGCTGGCAGAGAGAGGTGGCAAGATGAGTGATTATGTATCCACGTGAGGGCAGAGAAGGGAGGACCAAGTCCCAGACTTGAAGCAAGAGTGGGGAGGAAATGAGATGACTGGGATTCTATTTGACAGTGATAGCCTCTCCTGTCAACCTTTATGTTGAACCCTGGGCAGCCCCTGTAAAAACCGACGGCTGATATAACATCTCCAATGATTCAACGAAAAGGCTGACAGCTCCCAGTGCTGTGGACTTTGAGTGACGTGAACTCAGTAGATCTCAAGAGGCAAAGAGGAATAGTGCTTGGAGCTTGCCCGAGTCCGAGTGCTGTGAGTGTGTGTGTGTGTTTGTGCTCAGTTGTGTCAGACTTTGCGACCCCATGGACCATAGCCTGCCAGGCTCCTCCGGCCATGGGATTCTCCAGGCAAGAACACTGGAGTGGGTTGCCATTTCCTCCTCCAGGTGTTCTCCAAAGCTATTTTGAGGACTGTGTCAGTTTGTAATTCATTCTGGCCCTGACAATCATATGATAGGATTTGGAGCTGAGAGGGACAGGAGTCTGGCCTGTGATTTTTGGGTCGCGGAAGTGCAAGTTGGGCAGCTCAGCCTCCGCGGTGCTGGCCACGCTGCCGTCCAGCTTGCTATGTCCATTCGAGACTTGAACCTGAGTGTTTTCCGCCTGAGGCCTGAGCCGCTGGGCCGGGCTGCAGCCCGCTGTTGCCTTCAGTACTTAAGTATAAAAGCTGGAGCAGTTCCCTATTGGGCTCAAGCAGAGGCCTTTTCTTTGTTAATCCCTGTCTGGGCACTTGAGAGCAGCCCCCTTGCCATCCTTGGGCTAACTAGTCAGAACACTCTATCGAAAGATGGTTGTAATGGTTGTTCTGGGCTTCCCTGGTAGCTCAGCTGGTAAAGAATGCCTGCAAAGCAGGAGACCCTGTTTCGATTCCTGGGTTAAGAAGATTCCCTGGAGAAGGGATAGGCTACCCACTCCAGTATTCTTGGGCTTTCCTGGTGACTCAGCTGGTAAAGAATCTGCCTGCAATGCGGGAGACCCGGGTTCGATCCTCTTGGTTAGGAAGATCCTCTGGAGAAGGGAAAGGCTACCCACTCCAGTATTCTGGCCTGGAGAATTCCATGGACTATAAAGTCCATGTGGTCACAAAGAGTCAGACAATACTGAGTGACTTTCACTTTTCGAGCCCACATCTCTGGGCTATGACCCTCATCCGGCATCACATCAAAATATTCATGTGATAGCTTAACTATACACCATGGCAGCCTTTTGAACTCAAAGTAAATGAACACTTGGGATTTTAAAGTGATATTGGAGTGTTCTCTAGATGGTATTCGGTGGGGAAAGGAAATGGATGTGAACATCTGTGATTATTCCACATTAAAATTATTGATCACAGGCCGTGTGTGGCTTATCAGAGCACGGAGTGAACTTAATTGTCAGTAAATAACTCGGGGTCACCTTAACACACAGCTGCTGTGCTTACAGATGCTGCATCCTGAGGATCAATACACCAGAGGCTTTTCTGCTGAAAGGGACCCATCAGACATGCCCCGTCTAGGGTGATTTCTAAGAATGATTTTTTAATCTTAGGACTAATGTATGCTCATTACAAATATGCAGCAGAATAGAAAAAAAAAATC